TGCCCCCCACCGCCCCCCCCCCCCCCCCCCCCCCCCCCCCCCCCCCCCCCCCAACCCCCCCCAAACCCCCACCCCCCCCCCCCAGCAAAAAAAAAAGGAACCCCCCCCCAAAACCCCCCCCCCCACCCCCCCCCCCCCCCCCCCACCCCCCCCCCCCCCTCCCACCCCCCCCCCACCCCCCCCCCCCCCCCCACCCCCCCCCCCCCCCCCCCCCCCCCCCCCCCCCCCCCCCCCCCCCCCACCCCCCCCCCCCCCCCCCCCCCCCCCACCCCCCCCACCCCCCCCCCCCCACACCCCACAACCCCCCCCCCCCCACCCCCGCTCCCCCCGACCCCCACCACCCCCCCCCCCCCCCCCCCCACCCACCCCCCCCCCCCCCCACCCCCCCCACCCCCCTCACCCACAAGAAACCCCCACCCCCACCCCCCCCCACATAACGATACCCCCCCCCCCCCCCACCCCCCACCCCCCCCCCCCCCCCCCAAAAAACCCCACCCCCCCCCCACCCCACCACCCCCCCCCCCCCCCCCCCCAAAAAACAACCCCCAACAACACCCCCCCCCCCCCACCCCCCACACCCCCCCCCCCCCCCCCCCCCACCCCCCCCCCCCCCCAAAGACCCCCCCAATCCCCCCCCCCCCCCCCCCCCCCCAAGATCATCTAGAACCACATATCCTGCGGGATGAAGTAGAGAAAGTTATCAAAACAAGTAAAAGACACAAAGCAGCTGGTATCGACGGAATAACAACAGAAGTCATCCTGGCTGGAGGGGACACTATGATCACCTGGCTGGAGAGAATTTTCAATAGAGCATGGGCAGAGAGAAAGGTACCAGTGGATTGGCAAAGATCAGTTGTAGTACCTATCTGGAAGAAAAAAAAAAAACAAGAGAGAATGTGGAACTTATAGAGGAATATCTTTACTAAGTCATGTGGGAAAAATGTATGCAAAGATCTTAGAAAGTAGGATAAGAGCAAAGGTTGAACCTCTACTGAGTAAAGCACAATTCGGTTTCAGGAAAGGGCGAGGTTGCACTGATGCCATATTTGCACTAAGACAAGTCTGTGAAAAGACACTCGAATACGATAAAGAGCTGAACGTGGTCTTTGTAGATCAAGAGAAGGCATTCGACCGTGTGGACAGAGATGTGCTGTGGAGAATTCTTGACGATTACGGAGTGCAGGGTCAATTATTAGACAACATCAGAGCCCTCTATGAAAAAAGTGAAAGTGCAGTAAGAACATCTAGTGGTCTTTCTGAATGGTTCAAAGTCACAACTGGTGTCAGACAAGGATGTGTACTGTCACCATTACTTTTCATAACATACATGGATAAGATCACTGTAGAAGCAAACCCAGACGTGTATGCTATAAACGAATTACTTTTTGCTGATGATCAAAGCATACTGTATCAAAATGAATATGATCTACAGGAACATCTGACTACTCTCAACAACAGCTGTTTACAACATAATATGAGAATCAGTACAGAAAAAACAGAAGTTATGAAGATCAGCAGAACACACAGGCCACTGAATATAAATGTTGGAAGTGCCAAAATCAAGCAAACCAAAGAGTTCAAATACTTGGGCAGTATATTTACAGAGGATGGAAGAATGGACAGAGAGATAGAAACAAGAATACAGAAAGCAAATGCTGTCACATACCAACTATCACCTCTGCTTAAACATCCAGATATAACCATGAAGACCAAAAGACAATTGATAAACACCATCTTCATTCCAACACTCTGCTACCAGTGCCAGACATGGACAATCAACAAGACCCATGAAAGAAAAATAGAAGCCTGTGAAATGAAATGTCTAAGAAAAGCAGCGAATAAGACCAGACTAGACAGGATAAAGAACATAGACATTAGAAAAACACTGTCAAAACTACACCATGTTTAGACTACATAGAACATCAAAGAATGAAATGGTTTGGACATCTAACCAGGATGAAAAACGACCAAATAACATCACAAATTTTCAACCAAAGAAGCTCAGGATATAGGGCAAGAGGAAGACCAAGGAAACGGTGGATTGACGGGGTCTCCGAAACCTGCCAAAAGCATGGCCTCAGAACATCAGATGCTGCCCGCCTTGCTTATGACAGGAACTTGCATCTCCCCACAACGCTTAGCGGCATACGTGGAAGGAAAAAGTAAAGTAAAGTAAAGTAAGTACAGATAGCAATCTCGGTGTAGAACTATGAGGAGAGACAAAGTATTGCAGCCAGCCTTGATTGTGGCGACAGCATCTGACTGATTGTTTGCTTCATATGACAGGCTTGTACAGAAGTTGATGAGTCAGTAGTCCCACTCATTAAGCATCACCTGTGACGGTAGTAGTGGGACAGAAATAACACAAGCAAGCTCACAGTCTTGCATCATTGAAACTTGTATGCACCCTGGAAATGTTCACGCACCATGGAACCACAATGCTGCACCATGGAAACACTCATGCACCATATAAGCAATCAGAATTCCCACACTTCGTTTACTGATGAAGACAGAGCACATACTGGTATTTTGTAAGTGCTATGTCGGCAATTTTAGAAAATCGATCTATTGATCAATTGACCTGAGGGACAAATGTCTCTACTCTAGAATCGAATTATTGATTCCTGTGTTTTGTTGACCCTGCTGCATTTATTGATTCCTGAAATTGGCGTGTAAAAATACACCAGGATCGCCAGTTTGTATTTTGCCTGGTGCGAATCTCAGAGAATTATTTAAGTGGGGAAAAGGGGTGGAGAGAAACAAGGACAGGAAAAAAATAGAAATCCAGTCCAGATAATTGCTGACTCACAACATAATGGCAGTTTTCCAGACTCGTATGCAGATCTTTTTGTTATGTGTTTTCCTTCTTTGTCTGAAAACACAGATTGTGTTTTAAATCATTTCGACAGATTGGGTCATAGTTGCCGGGTTATGATTAAACTTGCCAGGTTGGGTCATAGTTGCCAGGTTATGATTAAACTTGCCAGATTGGGTCATAGTTGCCGGGTTATGCTTAAGCTTGCCAGATTGGGTCATAGTTGCCGGGTTATGCTTAAACTTGCCAGACTGTGTCATAGTTGCCAGGTTATGCTTAAACTTGCCAGACTGGGTCATAGTTGCCAGGTTATGATTAAACTTGTCAGATTGGGTCATAGTTGCCGGGTTATGATTAAACTTGCCAGATTGGGTCATAGTTCCTGGGTTATGCTTAAACTTGCCAGATTGGGTCATAGTTGCCGGGTTATGATTAAACTTGCCAGACTGTGTCATATTTGCCAGGTTATGCTTAAACTTGCCAGATTGGATCATAGTTGCCGGGTTATGCTTAAACTTGCCAGATTGGATCATAATTGCCGGGTTATGCTTAAACTTGCCAGATTGGATCATGGTTGCTGGGTTATGCTTAAACTTGCCAGATTGGGTCATAGTTGCCGGGTTATGATTTAACTTGCCAGATTGTTACAGATGATTGAACACAACTGTTTCGTGGTCACACTGATAAAATCAGTCAATCCAGTACTGTCTCAACAATGAAGGTTGGCTGTATTGGATCTCCAATAACTTTTGTCTCACATTCTGGTTGTACTGATGTCCATCCCTTTTTTTTTATATAATCTTCTCAATTTATTGATGTCTACCTGTTGCTCTCGTGCCTTTGACTTTTCCCTCTAGTATGGTATTTTAGTACCTACCCCCCCCCCCCCCCCCCCCCCCCAAAAAAATAGCCCCTCTTTTTTACATTTTATGTTAACCTCTGTTTTCATTCCAAGTCTGTCTAGAATTTCTGTATTTGATTTTTTTTTTTTTTTGTCTCCATTAAATATGACCTATTCTATATATCCACATCTCCTGAGACTCAGTTTAGTTTTCTGCTTGCTGGTTCAATGTCCAAGTTTATGCACCATACAGTAGAGTTGAGTATACATAACAATGGAACATTCTCATGTTTAATGTATTGTTTATCTCTCTAGATATGAATAAATGTTGCATCTTGTTGAGATTTTTGGCCATTCTGTTTTTGATTTCTTTTTCACATCTTCATCATTTGTTGTTAACATGCTCAAGATAGTAGAAACTTGTTTCTTGTTCTAATATGTTTTAATTTACTGTGATGTTCACTGTTGGTCAGAAGTAATTATCTTTTTTTTTTAAATTATTAATAAAATAGTACTGATTTATGAAAAGCTTTTGTTTGTGCTATACAGTGTTCATGGTGACCTGAAAAACTGGTGCACTGGACTACCAGGAAGTCGGTGTGGATTCATTCCTCAGTAGTGGCAGAACATTTTTCTACCAGTGGAGCTTTGTGATTTATTTGATAGATTATCCTCACTGCACATAATTTCCCTGGCATTTTCCTCAGCCTGTGGCTACTTAGAGTACCGATTCTATGTTGGTTGTCTATTTTTTTTTTTTTTTTCTTAGCCTCCTGGTAGCATTCATGTTTGTCATCAGGCTAGGCTGTTAAACTCAATAAGAAATGTCCAAGTCCCAACCACCAGACGTACTATGAAAGGCTGCAGGCTGTAGATTCACCTGCATCCAGGTGAGGAAGAAAGGCCCTGGCCTGATGCACAAGTCAAGACTGAGAGGATAGCGGGCTTCTTCCGGGCTAGTGCTGAGGCGGAGCTGTGAATGGGGTACATGGAGGCAACACGGAAACTGTGTGTCGTCAGATACCATTGCGATTTATTGAGGGGTAAACAACGAGCCGTTTGGCAGATGTGTGTAAGAAGCCGGCTTACTCAAGGTGAAGGTTTGTATTTTATAGAGCAAGCTGTCCTACCAACTCGCCCCCCCCCAACCCCCACCAGTATTATTCCACAGCCACTTATCCATTAAATCTACTGCTAACTATAATTAGTGGCCACTTTACCAAACACTACCTGGGGTGGATGTGCCTAGTAGTAGGACGGGCATCTACTCTAAGATTTAATTAATTAAATTTAAAAGTAATATGTAAACCAGATTCTAATTCTTCCTGGTATGTTTGATCCCAGGTCACCCACCACTTACAGTACCCGCCCAACACATCAACGGTGTGCTCATACTTTGAAAGTCGTGGGGGCAAGTTTCCAGAAACTGTATTTTTTGGGCTGCAGTATATCCTGAAACGATGGCTTGTAGGGCCTGTTGTTACAAAAGAGAAGATTCAAGAAGCCAAGGAAATTTTCAAGCTACATTTTGGTCAAGATCTCTTCAATGAAAAAGGGTGGAATTACATTTTGGAGGTTGGATGCTTATCTTACTGCCTAAACACTTTTCATTCGTTTATAATTTATTCTGTTCTGTTTTTGGATGTAGCAGTACCAACATAAAATCAATAATGATTATTATTTTGATAGTTCCATTAGCTTAATAGGATTTCCTGTATCAGGTCAGTGTGCTAGAAGGAAAGAGGTGTCTGTTTTCTGCCCTTATACCAATGTAATTTTCCATTAGCCGCTTTTTTGTTTTTTAAATTATCAATAATTTTATTTATTTGTTGAAATGTTTAGAATTTCTACATCTGGTATAAAAACCTTAAAATGTAAATAAAATTCTCACATTCTTTTCTCTGACACCCTAAACACAGTATATCTAAACTTCATTCTCAACTCAGTTTTTTCTTCACTCATTTATACAATCATTTATATCATTTCTTGTGTAAATGACTACAACCATACATGTGTTTGTGTGTAAGGATGTTTGCACAGGCTAAAGAAGAGGGGTCAGACAACAGAACACTTCTTGGAGATTAACTGGCAGCAGCATGTAGGGTAAATAACCACAGATTTTTCTAGAAGTGCACACAACACTGACTTTATGCATAAGGTCACAATCATGAGTGCCCCATGTTACCAAAGCCCTAAAGGCAGACAACAAATAGTAACTCTAGCCTGTTGTGTATGTCAAAAGAGGCTGTTAATAGGTTATTGTCTACTCCATCCCTCAGAAAACTAGTAAAAAGACTTAACCAACCATGTGAACAGGAACAAACAAATTCAGCCTACAAAAGTGATTGCTGTTTGCAATCTTACTCCAGAGTAAGCACCTGGAATGTTAGAACTATGGATGATTTGAGAAAAAAGACATGTTTGTATGTGAAGTTCATTAAGGCAGTGCTTTAAAAAGTGGGCTCCATGGGGTTGAGGGCCTAAACTTTAATCGAGGGGATTGAGAGATAAAAGAAACAAAATTATAATCTCAAACTGCAAGCACACATGATTTCTATTACACTCTCACTTTTTCTCTTCCCCCCCTCTCTATCTCTCTTGCATTATCTCCTCTCCATCTGACATCTCCATTTCCAATCTTCATTCTGCCTCTTTCTTACTCTCTGTTTCTGATTTGTGAATGTGAAATGTAGACACCTGGCTAACTGGTGTGTTTTGAACATTTCCTTGTCAGCACCATGGTGGCTACCTACCATTAAGGATAAAGGCCGTCCCTGAAGGCACAGTGGTTCCTACCAGAAATGTCCTGTTCACCGTAGAAAACACAGACCCAAAATGCTACTGGCTGACAAATTACTTTGAGGTATACATTAATTTTTAAAAATGTTGTTTTAAATATGCTGTTTCCTGACTTTCATACAGCACTGATTTTCTTAAGCTTCATATTCTTTTATATTGTTTTGTTAAACTTTCAGTCTTAGACTTTCTTTGCTTGAATCTTTTCAGTTTCAGCTCTCTCCACCTAAGAGTATAACTATTGGAATCTTTTTTTTTTTTTGGCTCTGCCTTTTCTCGCCCAGTGAAGTACAAGCATTCAGTCAACTCAGATCTTCTTCTTCTGCCTTTCTAACCCCCAGTGGAGCATAGGCTCTCACCAACTCACATCAGTTTGTTCTATCCTTCTTCTTCTTGGCATTCACGGGCTGTAAACTCCAGCAGATGTTCTGGTTCTTCATCCACTTCTGGACTCTAGTCCTGTTCCAGAACCTGAGTGTTGCGTGCACATCTGTTTCACAGGTCTGACTCATTTGCATGCAGACTGTTGGTTCCTTGTCTCGCAGATGTACTCCGACTTCAACTGAATCTCCAAATAAGTCGACTCTAACGACATGCTTCTGGGCAGGCAGTGGATCTATTCTTGTTTTTCCCCCACAATAAGGCCCAGGAACCCACATGGGAACTATCACTTACGACTCTCCCCTGTCCTCCCCATCTTTTTAACTTTGCTCTCTAGCTCCCTTCTCCATGTGTTTTTTGGTCTTCCTTGATTTCTAAGCCCCTCTGGATTCCAGTGAAAAGTTATATTGTTCTCAGGTTTTCTCAGCATGTGTCCTATCCAATGCCAGCATCTTTTCTTCACCTCTTAGTCCACTGGAGCTCGTTAAGTTTTCTCCTAAAGCTCTGTATTAGTAATTCTATCATAGCATTTAATTCCCTCTATTCTGTGCAAGCATGAGTTAATGAATGTTTATAGTTTATTAGTAATTGCATAAGTTGTTCTCCATGTTTCAACTCCATACAACAGCACTGATTTGTCATAAGAATTAAAAATTGCAAGTTTACTATTAGTTTTAATTGTTATTGACCTCCACGAGTTCCCTAATGCTATGAAAGCTCCTCTTGCTTTTTGTATTTGTAATTTTATATCTCTATCAGTTCCCCCATCTTTAATCAACGCAGATCAAGCAATTCTATCTTTTGCCATCTCCTCTAACTCTCCTAATGTCGTTCTTTTTTATTCATCTTTGTCTGTAATTCTCTTCTCACATTTTATGTCTTCTCTTTTTTTCTTTGCCCCTTGGGTTCTTTCCTTGCCCCTGGGTTCTTTCTTTGCCCCTTGGGTTCTTTCTTTGCCCCTTGGGTTCTTTCCTTGCCCCTTGGGTTCTTTCTTTGCCCCTTGGGTTCTTGAGAAAGAGCTTTTTGGTTACACTACTAACATATTTGCTCTAATGTATGTCCTGCCTAGTGTCTTTTCCTAGAATGTGTTCAGACGGCAGTATTGGTTTGTCGTTTAGAATTATGTCCCCCATGTGGGTTCCGGGGCCCCATTGTGGGGAAAACAAGAATAGACCCACTGCCTCCCCAAAAGCATGTTGTAAGAGTCGACTAATTGGGGAGCTTCCTTTGAAGTCGGAGTGCATCTGCTGGAGAGGCAAGGAACCAACAGTCTGTATTCAAGAGAATGAGATCTGTAAAACTGATGCACACGCAACACTCAGGTTCTGGAGTAGGATTGCACTTCAGTAGTGGATGAGCAACCAGAACTTTCCGCCAGTGTACAGCTGGTGAACACGAAGAAGAAAGAAGAAGAAGAATTATGTGTTACATATTTTGGATTAGGTTTTTCTTTTATAATTTTTAAATGTCATAGGTTAGAAAACAATTATTGCATGCACAGAAACATAGTATTAAAAAAAAGGCTGTGGATTCTGGACATTAGGTGAAGTAGCATAACAGTTCCTTTGAGCTTCAGAGATTGGATTTTGCAGAGAATTCTTCAAATTTTTTGGAAGTCAAAATAATCAGTCTAGATGTTTTGAAAGAGACGTAAGACTTGAAGATAAGTTATAAACTTGATCTAATCTACTGCACCACTTGCCAGATGTGCTGAAGGCTCTTTGGGAGCGATTGAACAGTGTGGAGGCACACATAGATCATTATGGTCTGAGGAGAATGGCGCTGCAGGGAGTTACCAGGAAATGTCACTGACGCTCAACACTCGAGGAAAGAGCGAGACAGAAATACAGTTACCAGTACCATTGGAATTGAAACTCTTCGTTTGATGTTGAAGAGGGGGATACAACACTTTTGGGGGTGTCCCAAGTGCTCTGATGTTGATTCTTAATTCAACAATCTAATCTAATGTTGCATATTTCTGAAAGTCAGAAGCTAGAGTAAGATTTCAGTAACAATGGTGGCTAGAATAATCATAGTTACTTTTACTTTCAGACCTTGCTCGTCCAGTCCTGGTACCCGATGACTGTTGCAACTAATTCTCGTTACCAAAAATTAATTATTGCGAAATATTTAAATGAAACAGCTGACAGTTTGGCTGGACTTCCATTCAAGCTACATGACTTTGGTTTTCGAGGTTGTACAAGTGTTGAGGTAAAGTTTAAATTGATTGTACCTGTAGACTGTGTTTGATTCATTTTGTATTTGTCATTGCTGCTTTCAATTCAATAACTTTTTGTAACCGTCGTTTTCATTATGCAGAACTGTAATTAAAACAAAATCTTTTTCTTCATAGTTAACTTTTATCAGTGTCAAGCTGTTACTTGCAAACAGTTAATTTCATTGAAACTACCATTTGTTGTGTCTTGTTCTTGCTCAGCATAAGCCCTCAACCAACACATGTCAAGCTGGCCTCTCTTTTACCATCTCCTGCAGTTCTATTTCTGTCTTTATCATTTTATTCATCTATGTCTCTAAATTATCTTTTCATATAATAGAAGGGCCCGTACCCTTCTTGGATGCCTTTGGCAGAAGGAATGCAGCAGAACCACCACCTCAGCTTTTGTGCAGCCTCCATGGTGGACCCAAGAAGTAAAACAGGCATGGAGAGCAAAGCAAGCAGCAGTTAAACAATTACAGAACATGCCTAAGATACCTCACAGATTACAGTAGGATGTAGAGAAGCTAGAAAGAGTTAGAGAAGAAAAAGTAAAAGAGTTGAAGCGTTGTGCCACAGATGAAAAAAAGGCTTAATGGGAACATTTTGTGAGCGAAATGGGAGGGGATAAATCACTGGGTATGTTTTGGAAACTTGACAGACAGATTGGAAACGATGAGGCAGATAGACTGGCCGGTTCTGCATTACTTAGTGGTGAATTGATGTATGACCATCTAGATGTTAAAAGGGTGGGATCTGGCTGACGCTTAGCACTCAAGGAAAAGGCAAGACAAATGTACAATTAGACAGTAACTGGTGCCATCGGAATCGTAACTCTTCGTTTGCTGCTGAAGATTGGCACAGGGCACTTATGGGAGTGTTCTGAGTGCTATGATGTAGATTCTTAATTCAAAATTCCATTTAGTTTCAGGCTGCCTTCCATTTTTTTCTTTGGATTCCAGTGAATAGACTTTCTATTTAATTACTAATATATTTTCCTATTGTGCACCTTATTCAGTAGCTGCATCTTTTGCTCGCCTTTTTCCCACATAGTGTAGAGCAATCTACAGGCCATATACCCTGTAATCTTTTGTTTTCCAGTTGTTGTCTATTTTTTTTTCTGTCTGCTTTATTTTCTTCACTCATTTTTCTAAATATGTTCAGGTTGCTGCTGTTAAGTAGCAGCTTTCATTATCTGGGCTAAATATTGTGGAATGCAAAATTTGGAGATTTTGTATGTTAATAAATGATAGAAATAGCAGTGCTACTGGTATTAAACCCTTATATAATAAGTGATCTCAATATTATTAACTCTTTGGGTATTTTGTTTTGTTGTCACTTTGATCTTTTCTATCTGAAATAATAATTGTTGAGTCTAAAAGAGATCAACAATAATTCTAACGGAGGTTAATAGTTAGTGTAACAAGTTATGGACAGCTGGGTAATTCAACAGCCGGGTGATGCACAAGAAAGAAAAGTTGATGTGGGGAATTACCAATAAATGCATGGCGCGTTGTTTGGTAGTGAGTGAGTGTTGACGTTTGAGAAGGGCTAATAGATATTCTTATACAGGCTTTTTTGTGTATGCATTTTTGACTTGAATAAATTAATTCTTTCAAAATAAAAGTTTATATAATTCTTACAGCAAGCTGGTATTGGTGGAGCTGCACATCTTGTCAATTTTATGGGCACAGACACGATTGCTGCTCTTTGTGTTGCCCGTAAATACTACGGATGTGAGATTGCTGGATTCTCCATCCCAGCAGCTGAACACAGGTACAATGTATACAGCTAACTTTTATAGGTGTTGAGGCTAAAACTTTTCTTATTCATCTTATTCTTCCTCTTCTTCTCCTCTGCTTCCTCTTCTTCTTTTTCTTCACAATGGATCTGAAGTCTCACCAGTCACTTATATTTTGTCTGGAAAGGATTGCTTGTCTTGTAAGGAAAACTACTTTAGACCACATCTCCATTTTCTCTGGGTAAATATGATCAGTCATATTGCATGTGCTGTGATGTTTGCTGGAGTATTCCATCACCGCAGATAATGCAATCATCATTTGCAGGCAGCAGATTCAGACTCTGATATAATCACTGTAAGTTTCTTTTTTCTTTTTTTCTTCAAATCTTGTCTGAATCTTCACATATCTTTTTATTATTTCTTAAAGTGCTGATCATTACTTGTGTCTGCTATGTGTATTTTTTCATATATATTTGAAGAAATGCATTTGTCATCTGGGGCTTTGTATTTTTACAACAAATTTTGATATATAAACATAATATGTTTGATATATAGTATGCAACTGCCATGTGAAAGATGATTGCATGGAAGGGCCAAATGTAAGATGGGCCTGGGTGCCCAATTTGTAACCTTTTGGAAATAAAGTTTGTTTGTTCATTCTGAATTACTTTTCATACTGCCTATTTTTTTTTAAACTTTGATTTAACAACAAAGCAGAAACAGATGAAGGAAAACAAATGACTTGCAAGCTAATATTTGTTCATGGCCTGACTTAACCAGCTAGGAAGGGCTGTGTTTTAGTAACACATCCAATTTTTTGGTTCAGCTACTTGGCAAACATTAGAAAGTCAGTTTTTTTAACCAAACACAAATGGTTTACTTAAACTGTGATTATTCTATTATATATGTACAGGAGATACTGACCTATACAACCACAATAAAAACAGTCAACTTTAGAGAATTGTCACAGACAAATGTTGAATTAAGAACCATCATCACAACACTCGGGACATTCCCATAAGCACTCTGTCCTCATCTTCAGCTGCAAGCACTGTGTTGCAATTGCGTCTGTGTCAGTACCAGTCTGATTGTATATCTGACTCGCCTTTCTGTTGATCGTTGGCTAGATCACCTGGTCACTCCTTGCATCACCACTCTCCTCGGACAGTGATGGTCTATAATCGGAAATAAGTTGTAATGTTTTTTCACAAGGAAATTGTTCTAAAGCATGTTAGTTCCTTTTGTGTGTGTGTGTGGCTGAGTAGGTCCTCCAATCATTTAAAATCTTAAAAAAACTGTTGCCTTCACTATTGTTGTAATCTTCAACACTGTTTTCTTTACTGTTCCTCTCAGTGATTTGAAATCTTTAAACTATTATCTTTACTGTTCCCCTCAGTTGTTTGAAATCTTCAACACTGTTTTCTTTACCATTCCTCTTAGTCATTTGAAATCTTTAATGCTGTTTGTGACATTTCCTAATTTTGTCTGACACTTCAGTACCATTACAACTTGGGGAGAAGATGGAGAAAAAGATGGATTCAAGAACATGCTAAATAAGTTCCCCAGCGGCGGGGTTTCTTGTGTGAGCGACAGCTACAATATCTGGAATGCTTGTGAGAAGCTGTGGGGCCAGGAACTGAAGGATGAAGTCATGTCAAGAGCAGACAATGGAGCACTTGTTATTCGACCAGACTCTGGTAACCCCAAGGAAGTGGTTGTCAAGGTAATCAATTGAACAATAATGAACAATTTAAGTACTTTTCTCTGTGGTGTCATTTCCACAAAGGAGATTAGAGGCAATGTGTTCACTGCTGACTTTAGGAATATTACATTATATAGCTATAATCTCTTCCATGGTGAGACTCTTGTACCACCATCTGAAAGCCACAACAACAGTCTTTAAATACTTTAAACACATCTCTGTTCCTTGTTTGCTTTTGCCTCCTGTAAAATTTAAAGTAAGTCCTATTTTCATGTATAGGAGTATTTTTGCTGGGTGCATGTTTTTACAGTATCCCACCAGCTAGCTGCCTTTATTTGTAAAGAAATTTTCTGGTACCCATTTTAGACTGAATTAGGACACATTTTTTAAAATCTGCCTTGATAAAAATTTGCTGTGACAGATTATTTTGCCTCCTTCAAGGCTCAATATGTAACAGGGATTCTTCACGTTCTATAAAGAGCTTCCTCTGTACTTTCAGCAACTCTCATTGTGAGCCGATGAACCACAGTTAGGCAGGTCTAGGAAAACAAATGTGCACGCCACATTTGAGTCGTAGAAAAAGTCCTGACGCAGACCGTCCAGCCAGGACTTTCCACCATTCTTAGCCAGTGAACACAGAACAGCAAACGTGATTAGTGATTAGAAAGGATTATTATCACAGCACTCCGGACAGATCCATAGGTGCCTCGATCTCCTCCTCTAAAGCTCCACGAACAACAGTATCGGGGGAGATGCATCTAAGTAGTAATTTATTTTTCTACTCTTTACATTATATAGGCAATGTAAGATCTAAGGCCAGTCTGATACTTTATGAAACAAAACTGTTGTACAGAATGAGAGACTTCAACTTATGACTTCAGGATCTTTGACACCCCCCCCCCCCCCCCCCCCCAATAATCTAATGCAGTCCTTATGGACAGTAAAACTAGCTTTTACAAATCTGAAGTAGTATTACCCTTTGTCTGATATTTAACACAGACTCTAAGATATTTCATGTCAGACTTCTAAGATGTTGCAGAATTAATGGAGTGGATTGTTACTGGGTGGTTAGAGTTGAAATATGCCATTTCTGTTAGTTGTTTTACTAGTATTGGTTTCCTAAGTCATTTTTTAAAGTTGTTTCAGATCTAAGGGCTTAGGAAATACTGTCAATATTGTACAGCTATATCGTCTCAATTTTCTGTTTAGCAAAGGGAAAAGTTCAAATATAAAGTTTTGAATCAGATTTGTTCTCTGAACTGTGTTGAGCTTGTTTGATTGAGCAAATGTGTTCATAAAACTTTACAGGTGCTGGATATACTGGGTGACAAATTTGGGACAACCTTCAACTCTAAAGGTTACAAAATGCTGCCGCCTTATTTACGTATCATGCAAGGGGATGGAATTTCTTTGGAGACCCTAGAAGCCATCTTGGAAATCTTAAAACAGAATAAATGGAGTACAGATCTGGTTACATTTGGCAGTGGTGGGGCCTTGCTGCAGAAATTAGACAGGGATACCCAGAAGTGTGCCTTCAAGTGCAGCTACGCAGTCGTCAATGGAAAGGAGGTGAGATATTTAGCGACTGTGATATTTTTTTCTTTGCAATGTTTCTACATCAGTTAAGGTTAAAGTTTTTGAACGTTAAATAGAGCCAATACTCATGTTTAGAAATGAATTACGGACAGCACATTAGGGAAAAATTAGGGGGAAGTTACAGAAATGTGGTCATAGAAATATTATGAAAACTCCGTGAAGTTTTTTTCCTTTTTAAATTGATGAAAATTGTCCTGAAAAAAAATTAATTAAACAGAGAGAACCGACTAGAACTGGTCTGAAAAAGAGAATCCACATTCTTTGGTACTTGTCCTGAGAAGGAGTAGACTGAAGTTCATCATGACAATAGGAAAGTTGAAGAGCAAGAGAAGCAAAGGGAGATTTTAACTACTTATGTACCGGAATGTCTTTATTGAATTCCTTCAGAACTAAGTGTTTATTCCTTTAAACCCTGTCATCCCAAGAAAGCCAGTTTTCCTATTTTTACGTTTTGTTTAATTACATTTTTTAGCAGTGGCCAGTACGCCTTTATAGCAGTTTTGGTACTGGCTGCAGCTGAATAAAGTATGGACACAATTGATATGATTATATTCTTCTTCTGCCTTTCTATCCCCCAATGGAGCATAGGCCCCCAACCAACTCATGCCAAGTTTCTATCCTTCGCCATTGCATGGAGCTCTCCCCATGTCCTCCCCTTCTTTCTAACTTCATTCTCCAGCTCTCTTCTCCATGTGTTTTTTGGCCTACCTTTATTCCTATGCCCCTGTGGGTTCCAATGCAAAGACATTCTAGTTATGCTGTTCTCCTGTTTTCTCAGTGTGTGTCCTATCCGCCAGCATCTTTTCCTCACCTCTTGGTCCACTGGAGCCTGTTTAGTTCTCTCCCAAAGTTCTACATTAGTTATTCTATCATACCATTTAATTCCCTCTATTCTGCGCAGGCACCAGTTAATGAATGTCTGTAATTTATTAGTAATTGCCTTGGTTGTTCTCCGTGTTTCCGCCCCATACAATAGTACTGATTTGACATTATAATTAAAAAATTTTAGTTAAGTATTTCTTTTTATTTCTTTTGACCTCCACAAATTCCCTAGTGCAATGAAAGAACCTCTTGCCTTTTGTATTCTTATTTTAATATCTCTATCAGTTCCTCCATCTTTATCTACATTACTGACTAAATAGGTGTACGACTCCACGTCTTGGAGTGGGGTGCCATTAAGAGAAACCACATTACTATTTGCCAGATTTATTCTCATTATCTTTGTCTTTCCTTTATGGATTTTCAGACCAAGCTGCTGTGATCTTGCATCAAGTATATTTAATTTATCTTGCATCTGATTCCGTGAATGGGACAGAAGAGCAATATCATCAGCGAAGTCCAGATCATCAAGCTGTTGTGTAGGGGTCCACTGAATTCCATTCTTGGTGTTAGCAGTTACTGTTTTCATAGTCCAGTCTATAGCCAGTAAAAATAAGAGAGGCGACAAAAGACATCCCTGTCGCACACCTGTTTTTATTTCAAATGCATCTGTTAGCTTTCCCTTATGAAGAACTCGACATTTCATGTCTTTATATGTTGCCTTTACTAAGTTGATAATTTTCTGTGGGATTCCATAGTGCCCCATCAATTTCCAGAGAGATTCCCTATCAATGCTGTCAAATGCTTTTTCAGTCTATAAATCCAATGTAAAGTGGTGAGTTCAGTTCAATGCTTTGCTCTATTATAATACGTAATGTGGCTATCTAGTCAGTACAGGATCTGTTTGACCGAAAACCTGCCTGCTCATCTCTTAGCATTTTATTAATAGCATCTTTTAATCTTTCCAAAATAATTCTACTTAATATTTTTCCAGGAACTGACAGCAACATAATTCCTCTATAGTTTTCACACTCCTGTTGATCACTTTTTTTGGGCAGTTTCACAAGATATCCTTCTCACCAGTCTGCTGGTATTTCTTCGGTCTCCCAGACTTTACTGAATAATCTATGTAGCAATTCTGTTGATGTCTTTATGTTGGCGCTGATGGCTTCAACTGGGATACCGTCTGGGCCTGTCGCCTTTCCTTCCTTAAGAAGATTGATAGCTTTTCTAATTTCCTCTTTGGATGGTATCTCACAGTTGATATCCAGTTCCATTTCTAAAGGCTGGATATCTGGGGAACCTCTGTGCCTGGTCTATTTATAAGCATTTCAAAATATTCAACCCATCTGTCCATTTGATCTTTAGTGTTAGTAAGTACCTTTCCTTGACAATTTTTGATTGATCCAATTGGCTGACTATATTTACCTACTAATTTTCTTGTGTTACTGTAAAGTTTTCTGAGGTTTCCTTTTGCTGCTGCTGTCTCTGCTTCTTTTGCTAGATCATTTAGATATTTCACTTTATCTGCCCTTATATTAATTATATTAAACCCCCAAAAATGTGGATATTATTTGGGTTGGTGGGAGGGAATGTTGTCATTATGACGAAGTTACAAATTTATGATGAGAACACTTTGCTTTCTGTGGCTGTGTCCAAAAAAAAACAACCTGTTTTCTTGTGAAAGGGAAGAAAAGCTATTATTTCTTTGCTCTGTTTATAATTAGTGATAATTTCTTTTCATATAAAATAATCACTTTTGCGCACAATAATGACTAATTATGACAAATCCATATTTTTAGTGACTTGGGAGCCACAATGAGCAATAGCTAGCAGACTTGACTCTCTCATCTTGGTGGTCATAGTTTTCAACCACCTGGATTTTATAAAAACTGAAGAAGACCCCAGATTTTTCTTCTAGTTTCCTCGGGTAGAGTTTCAGTGAGTTGTAACAATGCATTTATGTTTTTAAAGACAATTTTAAAAGGGTAATTTTTCAGATTATTATGGGATGAAAATGTTCAACTCAATTTCTTGGTACAAGTAAATTAAAGGTTCCTTTATAGACCAGTGATGTACTGGATTTATGAGGCCAGATTAATATTTGTATAGACATCACACCGACCACCTTTACTTCCCAGGATTTTACCTGGTACCAATTTAAGGACTTGGTACCTATTTACCTGGCACTATGCAAATTTGAACTCACTACCTTCGGATTGGCAGGCGGCTCTCATTTGTTGGTATAGAAGGGGTTAAAATAACAACAACTTGAAAACTCAAAGAGTTATTATATAAACGAGAAGCAAGAGTTGTGTGGAGTGATTTATTTACATAATTTATGAAATTTCTTCCCATGGCTAGGTGAATGTATTCAAAGACCCAATAACAGACAGAGGTAAGAGAAGTAAGAAAGGCCAGTTAACGCTTGAAAGGCAGAATAATGGTTTCATCACCAAAGAGGAAGGAACCGGAGACCCGGCCAAGGTATTCATATTAATTGTGAATGTTTATGAAATATAAATTTATAAAGCCAAACATAAATACAGTCCATGCTGTGGGGCGTTGGTAGTGATGTCTACCTTCTGTCATGTAAACTTTCATTCAACTCTGACACATATGACTCTCCGTTTCTTGATGTCAGACTGTCCAGCATTTTCTCTCTCGGCCTCCGTCTGCCTCTTTTCCCCTCAACTTTTCTGCTGTCATGATGTACTCACTTATCTCCTCATGAATGTAGATTTTCTCTTTGTGGGAAATAGTTCTTCTCATGAATGTAGATTTTCTCTTTGTGGGAAATAGTTCTCTTCATGAGTTAGATTCTTTCAAGACAACTTCATTAATCTTTTTTATCTGTACAGTGGAACCTCACTTAACGAGCATAATTCATTCCAGAAACACTTGTTAAGCAAAACACTCGTTATGGGGAAACAATTTTTCTCATATAAGTTAGTGTAAAATACGATAATGCATTCCATGTCAACAACAACAACACTCACAAAATGCTATGTATAACGTTTATTTAAAGAAAATTCTATACATATTGTTAAGGAGAGTGAATCATCTTCGTCTTTTCTTCAAATGTGGAACGAGCCAACTTGGAATGCGAATTCGATTTGCAGGGGAAAAAAAGTCGAAATAATTATGATACATAGCTAATTATTTTTTTTTTACTAGAAAGATGTCCAGAGACATTTGTTTTTGCCGACGCTTTGAAATTTGGCGAAAATGCGACACAGCATAATCATTAAATGAATTTGCAACGCGCATAGCCACTTCCTTATTAGGGTGATGCTTCTTAATGTAAGATGCAACAGTTTCCGTTGCTTTCAGCATTTCTCTTATTTCGCCAGAAGATTGTTGCTTTTCTGTTACCTCCTCCTCCTCCTCTGACAAACTTTCCTCCAAAACATCTTGCTGTGAAACACAGTGCAACTCCATAAGCTATTCAGTGGTCAGCTTTTGGCTGTGCTCTTCCACAAGCTCTTCGATATCACTGTTATCCACCTACAATCCCATGATAGTGGCCAAAGACACAATCTCATTGACTACAGATTCCACAGGTACTGTCTCAAACCCCTCAAAGTCATAAATTGACAACGCTCTCCGGTCAAAGCTTCTTCCAAGCAGAAGTAAGGGTTCTCTTGGTAACCCCTTTCCATGCCCTGTCGATCAATTTGAGGCAGGCAACGATGTGGAAGTGATTTTTCCAAAACTCTTTGAGAGTGAGGTTGATCCCTTCGGTCACCTGAGATCAGTGCTTGAAGAGTGTTTTAGTGTAGAGCTTCTTAAAGTTAGAAATAACTTGCTGGTCTATGGGCTGGAGTAACGGAGCGGTGTTGGGAGGCAGAAACTGGATCTTGATGAACTTAAATTCTTCAGAGAGATCATCTTGTAGGTCTGGAGGATTCATGTACGTATATCACAATATAACACAAGTTTGAGAAAATGTGTGATCACAAGCGTCACTTCGATGCTACTGGAACGAGTGCTAAACACAGACTGATTAACATGCGCACAATCCAGGACTTCCCCTCTCCTCGTCACTCGTTATGCGAAACGTCACTAGTTTAGCAAGTCATTCATTTACAATTTGTCATCATGTTGGTATATGGCCATGTCCTCTTGTTGATCTTTGGGGGATCCTTTCAAATCCCACCATGTTGATGACTTGGTCAGATGGCCTTGCTTACCACGACAAGTACACATGTCCGGAGTGCGGTGAAGATAACCCAATTCACAACTCACACATTTCAAAGTCATCTTCACTATCACTCTTTGAAAGAAACCTTCCATTAATTCTTCATCAACTTTAACCAGTTATCTTGCCATTTTGTATAAACAAAATGTAGATTAATGCAAAACGACAAATATTTTTTAGGGTATAAAATACACAGTTCACTGACCACGCTGTCATGGTTAAAAAAAAAAGCAAAAGGATAACGCTTAGTGCTGTCCTACTAACCTAAACACCCAATCGCATGTGATAAGCTGTTTAATCCTATGTAAATGGGCTACTTGGATCCAAATATGGCTGTCTATTGCTCTTTGACCCCCCGAGAATAACAGTCCTAAGTAGTCTATAAGGAAAGTGGAAAACATGTTTTCACACCCATAGCAGTGATGGCCAAGAAACTGGATGACATCTAAAGATGTGCATAGCAGTCTGTGGGCAAATGGTGAAATACGTGCTTAGCAGCGAAAGAGTTAAATGCAGATGGTAATTTGTGAGTGTGTTCTTATTCATTGTTTCTTGGCCAGCTGTTGCAGATATTGCTTGTCTCAAACATGCGTTCTTCTCCTTCCTCTTCTTCTTTTCCTTGGCGTTCACCTGCTGTAAACTCTAATGGAAAATTCTGGTTGTCCAGTTTGATCTTGTTCCGGAACTAGTGTTTTGCATGCACATCCAGTTTACAGGTCTGGCTTATTTGTTTGCAGACTGTTGGTTCCTCACCTGTTAGGCAGATGCACTCGACTTTGCAGGAAACACCTATAATTAGTTGCCTTTTGCAACATGCTTATTGAGCAGCAGTCAGTCTGTTCTTATTTCCCCATAAATTAATTTATCAGATGCTGTTTAAAACTGGATTTATATGAAAATTACATTTTTATTAGCCTCAGTGATTTGTTTTAACTTTGATTTTTTTGTCTGCAGGATGTTCTTCAGGTTGTGTTCGAGAATGGAAAGTTGGTGAAAGAGTTCTCATTTAGTGAAGTACGGAAAAACGCAGAGATTGATCTACTGAAAAATTAAATATACCAAGCAAGTTCCTACTGCGATAGTATTTATAATTCTTTCATTATAAATGCAATGCATAATTTAGTTTTTTTGTTAATATGGGTCTTATAAAAATTTTATTGTAAGAGGAGAATTTATCAGTAGAGTGCATCAGAATTTGCATTATATACTGCAGTACGTTTGATTGATATCCTATACATGGCTTATCAGGTTGCTGTGGTGTCACACTATAAGAAAACAGAAACAGAACCTTGTAGAAAAGGAAAAAGTATAACATGTTTGTGGTAGATTTAAGCAAGTTTTATCATGAAGCAAGTTAACAAATGTTGAAGATTATATTCTGATATTCAAGGGAAAACTCAAACACTGACAAATACCAGTTATTATACTTTTTAGTAATTGTAATCTGTATACACGTATTAAGTAATGTAGGTTGGACAGATAGTGATCGCAACAGAAAAGCAGTAAAAAATGTAACAAAGTAGCTTAGGTTGAGATCTGGCAGACAAACCACAATCACAGACTGCATCCACGTATAAATTACCATCATCATCAAATTCCTTGCCACCTGGCATGTATGTATGTCATCCTGAAACACTGCCAGGAATCTTCTCTTTTTGACTTCATCTGTTTTTTCTTTTCCAGTTTTCTTCTTTGCATGATGTGTACAAAAAGTGTTAACTGCCTTTATGCGATGTTTATAAAAGCTTTGAGTTTTTTCTTTCCAGGACCTGTATTTTCAGCATTTTTCCTTAAACCCATATTTCCTTGCCTTCAGATCTGTATCTTTTTACTAAGTCCAGAATACAAGGCCACAGTAAAATTAGTCAAAAATAATATTTAAGTGTATTTCTGTGATCAATTGCTCAACAGATAGTACCTGTGTACCCAACATTTGAAAAGTTATACTTGTCCATATTAATACGATTGACTAGATTATACATTTTGGAGAAGATCTGATTCTTTGTTGATATTTTGTCTTATTCTAACCAATTTGTACTTCTGGTCCAACATGGTGGATAGGCTGCAGGCCGCTGATGCTTTTGAAAATTTATTTATTTTTAACCGTAGTTTGCTGATGCAATTTCGTCGTTTCTGGACTAGAAGTCTACTGAGCGGAGCACTTGGTGGAGACTGATCTGTGGATTTCATGTAGAATAGGTTTTTTTTTCTGTTATGCCCATGGCAGTTTTGTGTTGTGAACTGCAAAAGAATTGGCAGGTGGCTGATTACATTTAGAAGAGAGTTTATATGCCTGTTTTCATAATTGTCTGCTTGCATCAACAGTGAGCTTTGGGAGACTTAGTGTTGACACATCTGATGGCTGCATAATGCGTTTACTTTGCATGTGCAAGCTTCAAGATTTAGCTGGGACTTATATGTTTGTAACTAGTTTTCAAACGGAACAGTGAAAGATTGTGTGATTTCCACTGTCACAGAAATGGAGCAATTATAGCCCGTCTGCACTGGAGTTTGAACCTCAACTAACTTATTCAAACCAGTGTTTATGTTTTCACCATCTACAACCTTTGTATCAGTCATTTTCTGGGGTGTATACTACCTTGTTCCTGTCACAACTGCCAGCAGTATGACATAAGTTGTATATTTTATAGATCTCGCTGTATGGTCACTATATAGCCAAATCAGTGGCAGTGGACATTATCATGTCTGAGGTCCTTTGCAGAATGTCGCTCTCATTTTGGTCTGCCTAACATTACATCTCCCCCCGACACTTTGATGAGGTAAAAGGTGGAAGAGAAGAAGAAGAAGATTATGGTCTGCCTGAAAGAAACTCGATCTCTAGACAGCTCTCCCTCCTCATGCACTTTTGCACTGTCCTACCTAAGATGTCACTTAGATCCTGTGCTCATCTTTGTGCTGGTCAGCCCCTGCCTCTCTTTCCTGGTACTATGCCTTCTGCTGAAAATTTTCCAATCCCCAGTGTTGTTTGGTATGGCAAATATTTTATTTTCCGAGATAAGATGCTGTTTACTAGCCAATCTTCCTTGATGTTTAGATCATTTAGAGTGTCAGTGTTTCTTTTCTTCTTTGTCCATGGTATTCTGATAATCTTTCTGTAGCATTTCAGCTCACAAACCCCTAGGTATCAGGTAGAATAGGATTAACACTTGCATGACATTGTTGCGTCTCATCTCTAAATCCTAGGATAAATGAAGTACAAACTTGAGAGACTGCCATGACTTACCTGGTAAGTACATCGGCAACCGGGTCACCCATTGGCTGGGGTGTAGACGGATCATCAGTCAAGACAGTATTTGGGTCTGTTTCTTTTTATCCCAACAACACTGCATGAGTCCTTTTCAAGGCTACTTGGTGGGGAGCAGTGTTAAGTCATTTAATATGGCGCAGGTATCCTAAGTCACAAGTATAACCAAAAGCTCCCCCTTGTGAGATGCTAGTTGAACGTGACTATTTTTTATTCATCAAAAATAGACAGACGGGCCTGTGAAGCCTGACTGAGAACAGTACATATCCTTGTCTGGTACTCTTCTTTATGCACTAAATCCTTGCTATCAATAATAAGGCAAAAAACTAATAATTTAAGCCATGTATTGAAAAGCTGTAAAAATACTCGAGAATGGGTAGTGCAATGTGAATACCTCAGTTGTCAGAAACATGATTTAATATGAAGTTACTATAGTTACTAGTTAGAAAATTTTTTAATATCAATTATGTGGTGTAAAATAATAGACTATACATCCCAGTTGTAAACATGACGGGTTGAATGTGATATTATTGATTTAAAGGTTACTACTTTGCTATCAGTGTTTAATTTATTCTAGTAGTTTGCTTATTTCTTTACATTTCACAGGGTCAAATCCTTTTGTGTAGTCTATGAATCATAATGAGAAATATTTTTTAATTCTAAAGTCCTATTAGTTTTCTTGTATTTGCCATATTCAAATTTGCAGTGTCTGTTTTCTGGTCTAATCTCGATTCTTACTCTATTTGTATATTCATTAATAGCTTAGTGTACAGTTTATTATTAGACTTACTGTATAATTATCCTTCTGTAACACCTGTTTCTTTGACAGAGTTTTGTGTGTTGGTGTGCATGTGTGTTTCCTTTCAAAGTGAAGAACCTAAATATAAAAATTATTTTTCTATTTCTAGCCCCAAATCTTCTGAGGCCCCAGTATACAGTGAAATTTACTTGTACCTAGAGCTGAAATCTCATGCAGCTGTAAATCTGCTCCTGGCTTGGACTTTGTTTCTACTAAACTACAGCTCAATCTGTTTAGAAACAAGTAGCCCATATTCCATAAGAAATATGTTTGAAACAGGTATTACTTATTATCAGCATGGTGTAGATCTAATCATGGTATTAAACAATCCTCAGACACATAGTACCGGTCAATGATTTCAAAAAACATAAAGAATGAAATGGGTCAGTTAAATGGCCAGCATAGAACAAAATCAGCCAGCAACTAGAGCTTACCACATGAGAACAGCAGGCTACAAGGCAAGAGGCCCATCAAGAAAGAAATGGATGAATGGAGTAAAACAGACAATACAGAAATGCAGTATGAATTAACACAAGCTATGCAACTAGCAAAAGATATGACATGACATCCAACTCCTCTCTGTTGTTTTAGGGCATGCAAAGTGGGACAAATTAAGAAGAAAAGCCCACACATACAGATGGATGTACACATTCTGCATGCATGTGCACTTTTCCTTGCATATACTCATGGTTCAATAGGAAAATGTATTAACAAGAGAAAACAAAATGAATAAATAATATACAACTAAGACATCCTAAATTTTAACTGTGGATGTTTTTATCAAAGAAATAATGAAAAAAAAATGACTCTCTCTCTCTCTCTATATATATATATATATAAATATATATATATATATATATAGAGAGAGAGAGAGGGTGGGGAGAAATAGAAATAGGACATCCTAGACAGCATACAGATCAAAAGCCATAGCATGTTGGGAATGGAACCTTTCATTTGACCTCATGAGTTCTCAACAGCGCAAGCTCTTGAAGGCGACATTTAGTTTTTGTGTATGTTTCAAACAACATTCCATCTCATGAGGATTATGATATGCCTGTACTCATCATTTTTATTATCAACACCATTAAGTCACATTTATGTATATTTTTTAGTCATAACATATGTATTCAAAACATTATAAAAATTCTACTGGATCATGCAAATATTATAAATAAAGATGTCTCAAAACTATTAAAATATTAACTTTTATGTTGTAGCATTTTATGATTGTTGTTAGTAGTTCAGAAAACTTTACATCAATTTGTAGTTTGCAGAATTATCTTTACTGTGCATTTGTTTCTTTATGTAAAATGTTAGTGCATGTAAAGCTTAGACAGATGTTACTATGGAGAATTATTTTCTGCATTGCAGTTATTCATGCTTGTAGAGGAAATTTAAGTTTGCTTTTAACTGCATAATAAAAATGGGAAATCCATGACCTTTATACTAGTAAATAATAGAGCTGACATTCACGGCATCGATACCATCCTGACGCAATCACAGATTGGATGGACAGGTCACGTCGTCTGCTAGCCAGACCATCAGCTCCCAAAAATAATCTTGTATAGTGAGATACAGGAAGGTAGACGCTCTTATGACGGCAGGAAAAAACAATTCAAAAACACGATAAAGGCATTTCTTAAAGCCTTTAAAATAGACCCTGCCACTTAGGAGGCTGCTGCACAAAACCTGACTACATGGCAAACATCTATCCAAAAAGAGGCCGCAACCTGCAAGTCTTTTTTTTTTTTTTAAAAGCGCGGGCAGGCTAGTAAGACCAGTACAACAGACCCTCTACCTTCACACACTGCTCCCTGCCCTCATCATCCTAGATCCACCCAAGCCTGTACTGGACTTATAAGTCACCTCCAGACTCACAGAACACAACTATAGTTTCATGACAGATAGAAGAAAGAATGGTTCCCATCACTTGTGATGGACAAACAACACCAAATGATTATATTTTACATATAGGTTAATTGCATATCC